AGTAAAACTGAAAGTGAAACTCCTCTCCTCTACTTGTGTTTTGCATTTGGAACAGATTTCTTTTGAGGCACTTGATAGAGAACTTAGTTATCTGCACTCACAGTATTAAATATCTGGGGCTGCAAATAATTAACAATCTGAATTGGTCTCTCCATAGGTCATCCTTAGTGAAGCATCCAAACCAGCATCTGTATTTCCTGCATTGGATGAGGAGAGCACCTCTTTCTCCTTTTATCCCGGCCACTTTCTACAGAGGCATGATTGAGAGCATTTTAACAAACCGCATCCCTGTCTGCTTTGGTGGCAGCAGCACCTCGGATAGAAAGTCCCTACAGAGAGTGGTGAGGACAGCCGAGAAGATTATAGGAAGCTCACTTCCTGTTATTCAGGATACTGCTTATAAGGGCTATGTGCTTAGAGCTCAAAGTATTGTGAGAGACCCCAAACACCGACTTTATGGTCTGTTTCTGTTGCTCCCATCTGGGAGGAGGTTTCAAAGTATCTATAGCAGGACTGCCCAATTCTGTAACAGCTTTGTTCCCTATGCCAATCTGTCTGGTACACTTACAAGATTCGTTTTTCTTGCCATGTACATATATACATCTGAACTAGACTGTTTTGTTTCTCTTTGTCATGTAATATATGTGGGTATATGCATGTTTTTGTATTCATTCATTCATTCTGTCATGGTTATGTAGTGTATATTGGAGATGCTGACCCTTTGAGAGCTGTATGCAATGAAACTTTGTTTTAATGTATGTCAGTTAGTGTACATTCAAAGTAACAATAAAGTTATTCTATTCTATTCTATTCTATTCTATTCTATTCTATTCTATTCTATTCTATTCTATTCTATTCTATTCTATTCTCATTCCATTCCATTCCGGATGCATGGTACAATTATGTAATAATTCAGAAATAGTTCAGAATAGGTGCTTTGGAGTCCAAAGATAGAACTCACTGCAATTCTGTCAAGTTACTGTGTCTCTTCCCTGGATTTCACATTGGTTTTGACATGATTGCAGGAATGACCAGGGAGCATAGACTTTTTTGAGGACCTGCTGACAAATGCTCATGTGTTTCTCTTCAAACCTAGATCACTGACCAACCCTAATGGAAAAGACATTTTATTACATCTGACGTGATGAAACAATGAGCAAAGAAAATTGACAAATGAAATTAAATAGCAATGAATGCTATTTGAGGAAGGAAGGAAGGAAGGAAGGAAGGAAGGAAGGAAGGAAGGAAGGAAGGAAGGAAGGAAGAAAGCAGAGGAAGGGAGGGAGGGAGGGGAGGAGGGAGGGAGGGGAGGAAGGAGGAAAGCAGAGGAAGGGAGGGAGGGGAGAAGGGAGGGAAGGAGGAAAGCAGAGGAATAGAGGGAGGAAGGGAAGGAGGGGGCAGGGAGGGAAGGAAGGAAGGAAAGAAGGAAGAAAGAAGAGGATGGAGGAAGGGAAGGAAGAAAGCAAGGGAAGGGAGGGAGGGAGGTGAGAGGGAGGGAGGAAAGGAAGGAAAGACAGAAGGAGGAAAGCAGAAGAAGGCAGGGAGGGAGCTGGGGGAGGAAGGGAGGGAACGTGGGAGGGAGGGAGGAATGGGAGGCAGGGACGCAGGGAAGGAAGGAAGGAAGGAAGGAGGCTTTTTTAATGGGACAACCGATTTTAGATTGCTGTTACATCATCATATCTCTTTTCCTGCTTCTGCGTCTATAATCATCTCCTTTCCATCCTAGATCCCACTTACATTTCCTAAATTAAATGATTTTTAAGAAGTGAGAGGAAAGTTATGTAAAGTTAGAAGGCAATTTCTTTTGAGTGTGTGTGTAATTTTTCTCCAACAGCATGAAAACAGCATGCTGTTTTCAAAATGATGTATCAAATTAAATGCAACCAGGTGCCACATACCGCATTTCGTACACTAGTATATGCTTTCCTGTTGAGGGATTTTGTAACTTGTTAGCTAACATAATTACTGTGTATTTTACTTTGTATTTTAAACACAGTTACTCCCTATTTTAATCTGACTTACTTTTTCTCTCTTTTAAAATAGTGATAAGGTTTTATGAAAACCATTAGACTGGAATGGGGGGAAACTTTTTATGGATTGATGGTTAGCATCTAACACTGCTTAACTGAAAAGATAAGCTACAGAAGGATGTGTGGTACTATCTGCTTGCAAGGAAAAAATCTGTTCATGATAACACATCTGATTTGTTTCTTCATGAATTTCAAACAAACTTTGTAGCTGATTTACTGGGCAAGGAGAGGTTGTTACTCTTATCTTGTCCAACCAACTTTCCTCTTTCATTTTGTTTTTTTTCTTATGTTAACTATAATGCATGACTTCATTCCCACTCGCGCTATTACTAAATTTGCAGATGATAGAACAGTGGTGGGACTCATCTCTGGAGGGGAGGATGAGTCTGCCTATCGAGATGAGATGGACTGGTTGCTTGCATGGTGTGGAGACAATAACTTGGTCCTTAATACCAATAAGACCAAGGATCTTATAGTGGACTACAGAAGGAACAGATTAGACATTCAGCCTTTGTTTATCAATGGAGCAAATGGCCAGTTTTAAGTTTTTGGATGTTAACATAAAAGAGGACCTGACCTGGGGCGCTCACATTGCAGCACTGGTCAAAAGGGCCCAGCAGAGATTACACTACCTGAGACTTCTCAGGAAACAACAACTGAATGAAAAACTGCTGGTGACCTTCTACTGCTGCACCATAGAGAGTATTTTAACTTACTGCATCTGTGTATGGTTTGCCAATTGCACAGTGGCAGATAGGACAGCGCTCCAGAGGGTGAACGTCATTGCCCAGAGGATCATTGGTTGCCCCCTCCTCTCTTTGGAAGATTTCTATAGCTCCCGCTACCTTAAGAAAGTTCAAAACATTCTTAAAGATCCATCTCATCCTGAGCACCCTTTTTTTTTTTTGAACTATTACCATCTGGCAGATGGTACAGGATAATAAAAACAAAGACAAAGAGGCCGAAAAACAGATTCTATCCCAGATTGGTAATTATATTAAATTCTACTGTATAGTGCAATATTAATGCAATATTGGGTTTTTAATTCAATTGTATAGAATGTGAAGGATGTGTGTTTGTGTTTTATTTTTATAATTATAATGCACACTGAAGATGGCATTTAATTTCGTTGTATGAGGTGCAGTGACAACAAAGTAAACTAAAAAACTAAAAAAAAAAACACCACTGTAAAACGGGATGTAAGCTAAGGATCGGGGTTCCCTCTTTGAATGAGAAGAATCCCTTTTGTCTGAATATTCTGATAAATTGAAATAAAATGATATCTTTGTCTCTCTCTGTGTCTCCCTGGAAAACACACCTTCACTGTCTCGTACAACAAGTTATAAGAACATCATTTAAACCACAACCAATGATTTCTATGCACAACAGTGTGTCATTCGTCCATTACGTGGCAGCTAATTGTTGGTCTCAAACTTAGTCGCCTTGAGTCTTTGGAGAAAGGCGGCATACAAGTTGGACAAATAATAATAATAATAATAATAATAATAATAATAATAATAATAATAATAATAATAATAATAATAATAATAGTCTTTATTACAGCCACGCAGCCAGAAAATGTTGATTCCCCCAAAGACATTTTATGTGTTTGTGTTCACACGTGTTCACATCTCAGGTGAAAAAAAAAAAATGAAGTATAATTCAGGCACATGGAAACTTCTATCGGTCCTGAAAATTTCAACAAAAACCCCAGCTCCTTGCTACAACTCTTGTTTCTCTTGACATCAGCACACTGAAGCGCCGTTTAGGATATAATGTGTGTAATAATCCTGGCCATTAAAGGGCAGAGCATTCAGTTACAAATGGAACTATAGATGCAGTTACCAACCATATTAAGATAAACCTTAATCATAAACCAACAAAACCTGACTATATTTATATTGCAGAACCAAAAAACAAACAAAGAAACCACCACATTGTGTTCAGACTGTGGTATCTTTTATCATAATAATATTATTATCACCCAACCATGAAGGTCATCACCAGGTACTGTTCACCACAAAAGAAAATACGACTTAATTTCAGCATCCTGCATGTCTCGATAGATGGGATAATATTAGGGAAGAACCTTGGATGAAATTCAGATTGCAGGATATTGCCAGGAGTCAAGCAACGTTATATTAGGGCACACATTGCATGGTATGATAGTTCCCAAATAAGCCACAATATATTCATTAGTTTCAATAGTTACACATATAAACGCATTGCCATTTTCATGGTGATTCCTCCAGTTTACACTTCCCTATACAGGTAGTCCTTGAGTTACGACCACAATTCAGCCCAGAATTTATGTTGCTAAGTGAGACATTTGTTAAGTGAGCTTTGCCCCATTTTATGACTATTTCTTGACACCGTTGTTAAGTGAATCATTGCATTTGTTAAGTTAGCAACACGGTTGTTAAGTGAATCTGGATTCCCCATTGATTTTGCTTCTCAGAAGGTCGGCAAAGGGAATCACGTAATTCCCCCCCCCCCAGGACACTGCAACCGTCATAAATGTGAGTCAGTTGCCAAGCAGAGGAATGTAAATCATGTGATTATGGGGAAAGATGCTGCAATGGCCATAAGGGTGAAAAATGGCCATAAGTCATTTTTTCAGTGATGTTGTAACATTGAATGGTCACTGAATGAACTGTCGTAAGTCAGAGGACACCCTGTATTGTTATTTCTTTTTTTAAGAACAGAAATGTGGGACTATAATTCGCTGCCTCTTCTTCCATTTAAGAAGAAGAGAAGGAGGATTACAAAAACAATTACAAAAATCACTTTCCCAATGGCTTTGAAAACATAGCTGGAAAACTGGGGTTGTTTTAATGGATCTCGATTTATACCCAAATGATAAAACGTAAAGCTTTGAGCTTAAGTAAAAAAAACAAAAACAAAATCAAGCCACATAAAAACTCACAACTACATTAGCAAAACGTGGAGGAAAAGTATTCGAGTACTTACTTTGACGAATCTATGAAGTATATTACAAGAGCACCAATACTAAGAGCAAAAACTAAGACGACCTGTAAAAAGCAAGAAGAAGAAGAAGAAAAAAAAAACGCAGTCATTTGAGGTGTCAAAGCATTTATCATTCAAACAAAGGAACAGGAAAGGACGTGAAATTTGGTGGTGCCATTTTAATGGTTCTTCTGCTTCACGGAAGTGAACATTGCTACACAAGGCTTGACAAAGCTAAGGACGTGTTTAAAAGATATGCAAGCTGACATACCCCTTAGCACTGTGGTGCGTGAGGCAGAAAATCCATGTTATGTCCAGTGGTGCTAGTATAATAATAAACCCAATAATTGACCATTTGCTGCCCTGTAATATTATGGCAAATCCACCAGTTAAGGTACCTTGCCTCCCCCCTTGTATGAGCAACATTAACTGTGTTAATTAGACATTTAAAGGAGGATCTTTGGAGCTCAGGGTTGGAACTGTATGAGGTTCTTGGGGCTCTCTGAGCTTGGTTTTTTTTCCCCCTTTTCTTGCAGATACGAAATGTCTGCAAGAAAACAAGCAGGCTCAGAGAGCACCAAGGAGCCCATTAGAAGCTAAGGTGCTTTTTCAAGAGGCAACTGGACTTTCTGGTTTTCCTTTTTTCTTTGAAGACCTTTCGCTTCTAATCCAAGAAGCTTCTCCAGCTCTTCTTGCAATTGTTAAATTTTTCTCTCTAGGAAGTCAAATTCTTTTTTAAAAAAATGAAAGTTTGTTTCTTAATTTTATTTTTAAATTTTATTTTCAGGCTAAATTGTTCTGTGTGAATAAGGCTGCTAGGATACTAGAATTAATTCTGTGGCTTGAAAGAAATTCTGGCATATCATAAAGAATCACGGACCAGATTATCCAGAGATATAAGCCTTTCCTTTGAGATATTGACTCCATGAGGCTGTCTCTCTTACCCACCCAATGCTCCCATGCTCTCTCCAGGAGATAATTCAACAAAAATATTTACAAAATACCTATCGTGTTTTCCCCAAAATAAGACCTTGCTTTTTTTTTAACCCTGAAATAAGGGCTTGGCCTTATTGCCATGCACTCAAAAGCCCGATTGTCTTATTTTGGGGGAAAACAGGGTAGTTTTAAAAGATGAGGGGCATTGGGAGAACGGGAGATATTTGTGGGAAAAGTATAGATAGGAGTCTATTACAGAGAGTGTGGCCCTCCCATATCGCTATTTGTAATTTCCCAACAGGATGGTCATGTAGAAATAGTGATGGTTCAACGGTTAAAGATAAAGAGCTGGATCTCTTTGAAAATCCATTACGTGGCAGCTAAATTTGGTCTCAAATTTAGTCTTTATTACAGCCGCGCAGCCAGAAAATGTTGATTCCCCCAAAGACGTTTTGCGTGTTTGTGTTCACACGTGTTCACATCTCAGGTGAAAAAAAATAAATTCAGTGAAAAGTATAATTCAGGCACATGGAAACTTCTATCGGTCCTGCAAATTTCAACAAGAACCCCAGCTCCTCGCTACAACTCTTGTTTCTCTTGACATCAGCACACTGAAGCGCCATTTAGGATATAATATGTGCAATAATCCTGGCCATTAAAGGGCAGAGCATTCAGTTACAAATGGAACTATAGAATGCAGTTACCAATCATATAAAGATAAACCGTAATCATAAACCAACAAAACATGACTATAATTATATTGCAGAACCAAAAAACAAACAAAGAAACCACCACTGAACACCACTGTGTTCAGACTGTGGTATCTTTCATCATAATAATATTATTATCACCCAACCATGAAGGTCGTCACCAGGCACTGTTCACCACAAAAGAAAATACGACGTTCTTCAAAGAAAAAGAAAAACCAGAAAGTCCAGTTGCCTCTTGAAAAAGCACCTTTGGGACAACCATGACATGGATGACTGAGAATCTCCATAGACCCCATTAGACATTTCTCATGGGAACATTTACAGGTTCTCCCAAGAGAGGCATTTCTTCAGGTAAAGATAAACCATGTTTGACTCTAGGGGGTGATGTTCATCTCTGTTTCTTAGCCGAGGGAGCCAGTGTTGTCCAAAGACTCTTGTGTGGTCATATGGCCAGCATGCCGAGGCGCACAGAACACTGTTACCTTCCCAGTGTAGTGGTACCTATTTATCTACTCGCATTTCCATGCTTTTGACCTGCTAGGTGGGCAGGAGCTGGAGCAAGGAACGGGGGCTCATTCCATCGCGCGACGCTTGGGTCTGAAACCCAAGCTGACAATCTCTTTATCCCTAACCATTGAGCCATCACTATTTCTACATGACCACCCTGTTGGGAAATTACAAATTGTGATGTGGGAGGGCCACACTTTCTGTAACAGACTCCTATCTATACATTTCCCACAAATATCTCCCATTGTCCCAATGCCACTCGTTTTTCAAAACTAGGCATTTTGTAAACATTTTTGTTGAATTATCTCCTGGAGAGAGCATGGGAGAATTGGGTGGGTAAGAGAGACAGCCTCATGAAGTCAATATCTCAAAGGAAAGGCTTATATCTCTGGATAATCTGGTCAGTGATTCTTTTTGATATGCCAGAATTTCTTTCAAGCCACATAATTAATTCTAGTATCCTAGCAGCCTTATTCACGCAGAACAATTTAGCCTGAAAATAAAATGGGCAGAAATAAACTTCCTTTTTTTAAAGAATTTGACTTCCTAGAGAGAAAAGTTGACAGTTGCAAGTTGATAGCTATTTGATTTTTTTGCATTTATATAACATCAAAAGCAATTTTTATAATTTCCTTTATTCTATATACAGCATATTACTTCCATTCATTCTACAAGTTCTAGGTAAAGCTATGGATGTCAATGTTTTCTTTCAATACATGTGCCGTTGTGATAATATAAGGATATGAGAAAATACTTCAAAAGCATTACACAGAGCTTTAGAATAAATAATACCTTACATACAGAGACCCTGTTCTTGTACAAGTGAGTTAATAGAAGCATTGGTTGTTAATCTCACTGAACGCAAGATACTTGTAATTTGTAGAATAATGTTTTGCTTAAGTTTTGGTTTATACCAGGAGTGAAATTCACTTACCTTCCCTACCGATTCGCCAATGAGCATGCGTGTGCTGTCGTCTGCGCATGCGCAAAGGCTTAAAATGTCACAAAAAAGTGACATCATGACATCTGCACGGGTGGGCGGAGCCTCCCGCAGCTGCCACTACCGGTTTGCCCAAACCGGATAGAACTGGTTGGATTTCACCCCTTGTTTACACATATCAAAGCTTGCATAGGTAGAACTGAGAATGCTGTGAAATGATACAGTAACGAACAACCAGTAACAGATAATTAAGACCTTGATTTCAAACGATGGAAAGAAAATTCAGTGTGTTAGATCAAAATGGGAATCACCTTTCTAAAAACACAGATATACAGATTATTAAAAGAGTCAAGAAATGTATTTATAAGCACATAGGCGTAACGGGGAGCAAAACCTGCTTTGGGGAAAGGGCTCAAAGCAGAGGTGGTATTCAGCCGGTTCGGACAAGTTCTCCCAAAGCGGTAGCGGAAATCATGGATGGCACCCACTTCAGCTCTATGCCGTCCTATTTAGGCATGTTTTTGAAGCTGGGTGCATGCACGGAAGGTGTGTGCGCCCACAAAGCACATGCACAGAAGACCGTGCATGCACCGATGTGGCACATGCTAGTGAAGTGTAAATGCATGTACATGCACTCACATTTGTGAACCGGTAGGGAAAGTAAGTGAATACCATCCCTGGCTCAAAGCCTGGGGAATTAAACAAAGCTTGATTTTCAATCTCCTGTTTCTCAGAAGAAATATATCGGGATTGGATAAAAATCAAGGAGTGATGCCTGAACCGTACAAAAGAGACAATGCTAGATGCAACGGGCTGTTTTTAAGGCATCTCCTTATAGCCCATTAAACTCAGGGACGTCAGAATGAAATTTGACAGCTGAACACATCGCTTCCACTCGTTTCCTGCTAACTTACTGTGGCTAAAGAGAAGAAAGAGTCCGAATGGATGAAAATCAATATTATACAAACACATTTACTCTCCAGCTATTCCTTTTCAAGGTAAGCAATGTTAGGTAGAGGTCAGAAAGGAGTTAAGAAATAGCCTGGCAAACCAATTAAAGGCATGAGATAAGAAAAAGAAAAAAAATGTGAATTTACCCCAAACCGTTCATTATTATTTTTTTACAAACGTTTCTATACTTGCTTCCATCCATATAGATTTTTGGCATCTATACTTCTGGCTTTCCCAGTTGCAATGTATGGCTGTGAAAGTTGGACCATAAGAAAGGCTGAGCGCCAAAGAATTAAGGCCTTTGAACTCTGGTGCTGGAGAAGACTCCTGTGAGTCCCTTGGACTGCAAGGTGATCAAACTGGTCAGTCCTAGAGGAGATCAACCCTGACTGCTCTTTAGGAGGCCAGATCCTGAAGACGAAACTCAAATACTTTGGCCACCTAATGAGAAGGAAGGACTCACTGGAGAAGAGCCTAATGCTGGGAAAGACCGAGGGTAGAAGAAGAAATGGATGGCAGAGAATGAGGTGGTTGGATGGAGTCACTGAAGCAGTCGGCATGAGCTTAAATGGACTACGGGGGATGGTAGAGGACAGGAAGGCTTGGAGGAACATTGTCCATGGGGTCGCAATGGGTTGGACACAACTTCACAACTAACAACAATGACTTCTGGCTTCTTTCTTTCTAGAATTTCAGAAACTCCATCCAATTGTGACTTTCTCTTGACCCATCCATTCTTCCTTGGCGTTTGGCACTCCCTATGTAAAAAGGAACACTTCAAGCACCACAAAGCTCACTACAGCACAACCAGCACAAGCTATACACAAGGATGACACTGCCATACATCAAAAACATCTCAGAAACAACCAACAGACTATTGACAATGACATGGGATTACAAGAGCACACAAACCAAGAAAAGCCAAATAAAACATCTTAAGTAAACCAAAAGAGTCAGGAGACCCAGGAAAAAAGGAAAGAAAGAAAGAAAGAAAGAAAGAAAGAAAGAAAGAAAGAAAGAA